GTTAGGAGGGAAGTATTGTACAGTATTCTGATAGACTTTGGGATACACATGAAATTATTTAGGCTGATTAAATTGTGTTTAAACGAAACGTATAGTAAAGTCCGTATAGGTAAACAGTTTTCTGATGAATTTCCTATCCAGAACGGTGAAAATTTGGCGATGCTTTAACGCCACTGCTTTTCAACTTTGCTTTAGAATATGCCATTAGGAAGGTCCAGGGAAACCAGGTGGGACTGAAATTAAACGGGACACATCAGCTGTTGGTCTATGCCGATGATGTGAATCTACTGGGTGATAATATAGATACCATAAAGAGAAACACACAAACTTTAATTGACCCTAGTAAGGCGGTTGGTCTAGAAGTAAACACAGAGAAACTAAGTATATGTTGCTGTCTCGTCACCAAAATGCAGGGTAAAATCATGACGTAAAGATAGGTAACAGATGCTTTGAAAATGTGGCACAGTTCAGATAATTGGGAACGACTATAACAAATCAAAACCTGATTCAGGAGGAAATTAAGAGGAGATTGAACTCGGGTATTGCTTGCTACCATTCAGTCCAGAAGCTTTTGTCTTCTCATCTGCTGTCCAAAAACACAAAAATTAGAATATACAAAACTATAATTTTGCCTGTGGTTCTGTATGGGTGTGAAACTTGGTCTCTGACATTAAGGGAGGAACATAGACTGAGGGCCTTTGAGAACAGAGTGTTGAGGAGAATATTTGGACCAAAGAGAGATGAAGTGACAGGAGGGTGGAGAAAACTGCATAATGAGGAGCTTCATAACTTGTATTCTTCTCCAAGTATAATCAGAGTGATCAAGTCAAGGAGGATGAGGTGGGCAGGGCATGTAGCACGAATGGGGGAGACGAGGAATGCATATAAAATTTTGGTGGGAAAGCCAGAATGAAAGATACCACTGGGAAGACCAAGGCGTAGGTGGGTGATAATATTAAAATTGATCTTGGTGAAATAGGTTGGGATGGTATGGATCGGATTGATCTGTCTCAGGATAGGGACCAGTGGAGGGCTCTTGTAAACACGGTAATGAACCTTCGGGTTCCATAAAATGCTGGGAAATTCTTGGGTAGCTACAGAATTGGCGGCTCCTCAAGAAGGGCTCAGCTCCACGAGTGAGTGAGTGAGTAATGTGTAATTTATGGGACCGTAGGACTGCTCCGTTACTGTTGTACAGCCATTTTCTTGTTTGTTTTGTTTGATCTTATGTCATTAATGTGTTCGTTATAGGCTACCTGGTTTTAAAAGCCTATAATTCTTTCTTCACGACTCGTAAAATTTAATAGCCTCCTATATAACTTTTGGTTCAGTCTATAAAGACGAATGTTAGTTACACTATGGCAACACATTGGTCCTTACCACAAAGACAAAAACTCTACTGCGCTAGTATGTAAAATTCCCACCTTGTCTCCAAAAGTAATCTAATTGTAAGACTCATTCAAACTTTATAATCACTTGTAAATATTCAGATCAGACCCGGCTACTGCTCAAACCGCCAAACACAAAACTGACACCTCCGAATATTCGAAAGAACTTACGACATACTCGTTTAATTATGATTTGGTTTAAATTGACAAGAACAAATTTACGCGGAAGATGCATATGTAGCACAGGAGCGGGAAGTGAATAAGTTACATAATTAGCTTCCAACTACATAACTAACTCCACGCATCTGAGCCCTCCTTGAGAAGCTGCCAATTCTGCAGCTACTCAGGAATTTCCCAGTATTTTATGGAACCCGAAAGTTCATTACCGTGTTCACAAGAACCCTCCACTGGTCCCTATCCTGAGCCAGATCAATCCAATCAATACCATCCCATCCTATCTCTCTAAGATTCATTTCAATATTGTCCACCCACCTACGCCTTGGTCTTCTCAGTGGTCTCTTTCCTTCTGGCTTTCCCACCAATATCCTATACACATTCCTCGTCTCCCCCATTCGTGCTACATGCCCTGCCCACCTCATCCTCTTTGACTTCATCATTCTAATTATACCTGGAGAAGAGTACAAGTTATGAAGTTCCTCATTATGCAGTTTTCTGCAATCTCTTGTCATTTCATCTCTCTTCGGTCCAACTATTCTCCACAACACCCTGTTCTCAAACACCCTCAGTCCATGTTCCTCCCTCAATGTCAGAGACCAAGTTTCACACCCATACAGAACCACACATTAGCTTAGGCCGTTTATCCAAGGAACCAGTCCAGGTCCGAGGCTTTGTGTTCATTTTCGTAACATACGGATTTTTTACGGCGAGGAGTTGTTAGCCCCACGCCCAACCCCCAAGCTGGAGGGCCACCCCTTGTCGGCTGTCCGCGACTGCTTATTCAATATATTCGCAGCTTCCCTCCAAAACTGGAGGGCGTCTCCTCCATCCGCAACCTGAGGGCGCGCCATGCCGTGGTGACAGGGACCCAACTAACATGGCTATCTCTGTTATATACATTTTAATATTGTCCACCCACCTATGTCTTGGTGTTCCTGGTGGTCTTCTTCCTTCTGGCTTTCCCACCAATATCCTCTATGTATTCCTCTTCTTGTCATTCGTGCTACATGCACTGCTCATCTCATCCTCCTTGACTTGATCACTCTAATTATACAAAAGGTCTGACACATTTTGATCTTTAATAATTCTGGAAATAACGAAGATAGAAATAAACCTTTAGCAATGATGGAAGGATCAACACGAAAAGTTTATTTTCCTCTTTATAGGTCACGAACGTGTTCATAGCTGTCAGTGCAGTGTTCATTGTTGAGAAAATGGAGACTCCACAAGAGAGAGAGCAAACAGTGGTGCGGTTTTGTGAAACGAAATCGGTGAGACAAACGCAGAGGAACTTCAGAATACATTACCAGAAAGATCCTTCTTCTAGAAACAGTATCATAGACTGGAAAAAGAAATTCTTAGAAACAGGAAGTGTCCTCAGTAAGAAGAGTTCCGGAAGTCCCAGCACAAGCAATGATAATGCTGAGCGTGTCCGAGAAGCATTTGCACGCAGTACCAGGAAATCTTTGAGAACAGCGGCAAGAGAATTCCTTATGCCAGTTTCAAGAGTACACAAGGTTCTGCGGAAAAAATTACGGCTGTATGCTTATAAGATTCAACTTGTGTGAGCTATTGAACCACATGATAAGCCTAAGAGAACGGATTTTGCAACAGATATGTTACGAAGACTAGAGGATGATGAAAGATTACTTACAACCATATTGTTCTCTGACGAAGCTTGCTTCCACATTTCTGGAACAGTCAATCGCCATAACGTACCCATTTTGGGATCAGAGAACCCTCATGAATACCGTGAAATGGCAAGAGACTCCCCAAAAGTGGATGTGTGTTGTGCTCTTATGCATGATCGAGTCATTGGGCCTTTCTTTTTCGCGGAAAAGACAGTCACATCAGTCATTTACCTAAACATGTTGCAGAATTTTGTATTCCCGCAAATTGAAGCGATTCCGCCCCAAATCATTTTCCAACAAGACGGTGCGCCACCTCATTAGACCCCCAAGATCACCTGACATAACCCCACTGGACTTTTTCCTCTGGGGTTATGTCAAAAACATTGCTTATAAGACGCAGGTTAGAGTAGTGCCGAGCCGTACACATAAATAATACTGTAATTCCACAATCGTCAACAGCAAAGTATCTTGGACTCCACTTGGATTCCAGGCTTACTTGGAAGCCAAAAAAAGAAGAGAACAGGTAGACCTAAAAGTAAAAGACAGACATTGGATCATTGGAAGTAAATCTAGCGCATCGCTAAGTGGTAAAGTACTTCTTTACAAGACAATCATACAGCCTATTTGGACCTATGGAATCGAACTATGGGGATGCATCAGTAAATCGAACATAGCCATAATGCAACGAAGGCAGTCCAAAATACTGCGGATGGTCACAAATGCACCTTGGTATGTGACTAATCAGACCCCACATGACGATCTCAATGTACCATTCATCAAAGAAGTCATCCAAGAAAGAAGCATAAAACATCGATAAACTAGGACACCATAGCAACACATTACTGCAGCCCCTACTGGAACAACAACAACGAGAAGGCTAACGAAATTATGGCCAGCAGATCTACTTGATGGTTGAAGAGGATCTCTCATTGGAGGAGCCCTCATCACGGTACAATAAGCACACGAGGACGGTGTTTAAATTAGCAAATTCGCTTAACGAATGTATTTAATTCTGATTGCTAATAAATAAATAAATAAATATATATATATATAAAATAAGACGCAGGTGAGAGACATCGATCAATTAAAAACCAAAGCAAGAGACGCAATAGCCACTGTGCATGTCGGTATGCTTGCCCGAACCTGGCAAGAAATCGACAATTGTCGATATTCTACGTGCAACAAATGGAGCACATGTACAACTTTATTAACAATAGACACAAAACTTTTTGAGTTTCTCAATCCAACAATGTAACCAGTTTATCTCTATCTTCGTTATTTTCCGAATCATTAAAGATTAAAATTTCAGACCTTTATATTCATTAGATAGTTTAAGTAATTATTTAAATAAGTTCATAAATATACAGGATGATTCTAAATTAAATATATATTTATAAATATGAATACCTATAAGTTCAGACTGCAGGAAACTTCTTTTCATTATTATCGAGAGCAAGAGACTTCGTTGTTCGTCAGTTATTTTCGGATTGCTGATTGCTGACTATTGACTCTACGAAGGGTAGAGCTACGCATAATGTAATAATCCTTGTTGAATTATGCCTCTCTGCAGAGCTACAAGACTTACCTTAAATATGTGCCGAGCATAATATTGTCACGTGTACGAACGAAAAGAGGGGGAAGAATGAGGCTAACAGAGGAGTGAGAGGAGATGGAAGGACATAGAGAGAGGAGGAAGGACAGAGAGAAGGAAGAAGGTGACAAGAAGCCGATTTAGTACGACGCGCGTACGAACGCTGTCCGATGTCTGTTGTGACATGCGTCGGCAGACAGCGGCTTGTGGCCCTCGCTCCAACACGCTCAGTGGCTGCTGGCAGCCCGTGGCGTCCCGACGGCCACAGCTCCACACGGCGACTGTCCAGCAACGTCAGGTGATCGGCGCTGCTCAAGTCGCTTAGTCTGCACAGGTAGGGAAGCAGTCCGTGCCCTCCACTTGCACCGCAACTGTCCCTCCTTTGTTCTTCGTTTCTTTAGCGACGTCTCCAGTAGCTCAGACTAGATGTATCATACCGATATTTGTAAAACCACGAAACACCTCATTCAAGATAGCCGGAGTCTCAGCGTACATTCAAACCGAACAAATCCGTGATAGAACTTCGGGCGCCACCGTAACACAACGCCGCTCCATTAGACAGCCGTAGTAATTCGGGACCTATCCAGAGATTTGCCTGAAGGACTGAGGAAAATCACGAAAAATCTCGGTCAATATGGTCAGTGCCAGCGTCAGGGGTCGAACTCAGGATGATATAAAAATGCGACTCGACCATTACGCTCGTTTGCAGTGTCGTAATTGATGAACATAAGTTTATAAGACGCTCTCAAATCGACGACTACTATACACAGTTCTATGTTTAGGTATCTGATGCCGTGTAGTCTGGTAGAAGTGAATCGAAGATTAGAAGGGATGCCATTCGTGCAATGTTTGTCACTGAGTTCGTTCTCTGCACATGAAGATGGAAGTGGTATGCTACTAAGAAAATTGGTGACCTACCTACACGGTGTCACATCCCAAAAGTCAGTGCTCTTCAAAGGAAGTCAGGTTCGAAGGAAATTTCACGATCTGTTTCGACTGATTACGCTTTGTCACAATTCACTCTATAAGTTAGTTTTGTCCGATGCCCGGCACTTGATTGGAAAGAGGACGGTTTTAGGGGTGTTCATAAAAACTTCGAAGCGCAACTTTTAACTTTGTCATGTCAGTCTGTCCGCATTAAATAATTTGACTGTCACTGGATTGATTTCTCTGACAGTAAGTTCTCCTATATTTTTCGTTCTGTCACAGTCGGACACAAACGACGGACGGACGGACGCTGCGTATGGAGGCCCAGTTGAGTTTGATTCTGAGTATTTCGCTCCATTGACGAGAGCTCATTGGGGTTGCCATGGGAACGGGTCCATGGCCTTCCTATTCACTAAATTCACAGCAGTTCACTATCTGAAAAAATTACGTTACGGTCTCACGATTTCAGTTTATGACGACTGTCTGAACGGTATTTTGAAGTGTAACTTCCTTTTTTTTTTTCATTCTGGTCCGTCACACTGATATTATGTAAAAGTTAAATAGAGTTCAGTGTGACTGGTTAAGATTTTCTTATTTCAATTATTCATGCTCTTACATGTTTCGGTCTTCAGAGACCATCTTCAGAGAGACACTTTTACATTAATACAGTTAGAAGCCACTATTACAGTACATGTTCTAAACGTTAAAATGTATACATACAATATACAACATTTTTCTTTTTAAGTTCATTCAGTCATTCATTTGTTTTACGTCTGCGAACTAAACAGGGTTCTGATAATAGGTAACACTTAAAGGATATCCCAAGTTATTGGTTTTATGAATATCTAAATTAAAACGGAATATAAATTAAATATTGCAGAATTTTTATACTTAAGACGCAGAAAATAAATGAGGTCAAAAATGGTGTGTTGATAGAATATCAAGATCATATATTTGTACGCCCTTCAAATGCTACGTTGTAAGTGCATTTGTATCCTGCTCTAGTGAAATAATTCAATCATGCATTCTAAAGGTAAATGTAAAATCTTGTAGCGAAGTCATTGATGATCCAACCGATTTACGACACTGTCTGTAGCTCAGAATATACAGTGTCGAATTGTAGGATGATTAGTGAGTGATGAATTGGAATGGATTTGAAGGAAGCAATCCTGGCCTCATTTGAAGTACTCGTGATATTTAAAAAACTAATATAAAAAAAATGTGTCCATTTTTTCCATTTCTCAGGGCATGCCAAATAAATCTGTTTAAGTTCAAGGCTTTGTAATATTTCGTTATATGGTGGTCTTTTAGACTCAAAATCGAAATTGGAGCACCACTCCTAGTCGCTTAGCCGCAACTACTCAAAATTCAGACCTATCCTCAATATTTGGAGAAGGTTTACTCTATCCGTAACCATAGGATGCGCCGTGCTAGGGGCAGAGGGGCCCCACTTAGAAAAGTAAAGCTGAACAAAGTCTAATAGTGAAGAAGGTGGTTGTTATGTGCTTTAGGTTATCAAAATCAAAATGCAATTTAAAACTGCAGCCCTACAATCCCACCGTGATTCAATGCTATCTCGTGTAAGGTGTGATTTCTGTCAACCTAAAAATAGCACTAGATGACAATTGTCTGCCACGTGCATTCCAAGTTGTATATTTGCTTTCTTTTCCAGTTAACCGTCTGACGATTCTTTAAGCACACTATACATACACATGTACTTGGTTGTATTACACTGACTCTTGTTACACGTACATCAGTTATCTTCCTTTCTCATATACCGTATATATTACATTGTATTATTTCAGTGTCATATTCTGTAAGTGGCCTCGGTAAAAGCTGCCGCGCGGCCTCATTGAATTGCTTGTGCAGTTTCCCTGACTATCTCCACCGTTTAAACGTCTTGGATTCTCCTACTAACCTTCCACGGTTCTTATTGTTAATTCAGTACGTTTTCTGATTTACACGCTTTCGATATACGACGCGATTTTAGGAACGGAAACACCGCTTATAACGAGAGCCATCTGTATACATGGGGAGCACACAGTAGCGTAGTTGATTGAAGCACGAAACTACAAGCCGGAAGGTAGAGGGTTTGAGTCCCGATGAGGTGAAACTTTTTCAATTGGCCTAATCCTTGCAGCCACACTATGGCCCTGGGGTCGACTCAGACTCTTAACAGAGATAAGTACCAGGAATATTCTTGTAGGTAAAGGGCGGCTGAGGCTCATGATTTTCCTCAGTTGCTTCAAGCAAGTACTGTGATATTACTCGAATTACACCACGACATTTTTATTCCTCATCCATTCCAATGCATAATACAACAATATGATCCATCAATCGAAGACTAATATACTGAGAGCCTTGTTAATAAACCACCTTTCTTATGGTCCCAGCGAAATGCTCATGGGAATATTGTTAAAGTTTAGTCGATTTCGCGTTTACTCGAATTTTCACTTCATATTTTTAAGACATTAAAGGGAAATTTAGCCTATTTGTAACTTCACAGTAATCTACTTAGGAAAATACAAAGACACTCCGCTCATATTCGAGATATTTTCAAAATAAAATAAGCATTTCTTTGCATTTGAAATTCCTTGACACTGATGTGATAGAACTACACGCACTGCGAATTCATGAAATAAACAAACAAGCGATTGTTTGACTGTCTGAAGAAGTAACATGTCATGTAAATCAGTATATTTACATTTGCATTGTTATTGTGATGAAACGTAATATTTTAAAAACGGCTTCCTATTGTTTCAGCGTAAAGCAAAGCGGAGCTTCTCTTTACGCTGCGTCATTCTCATTCCCTTTTCATTTAATTGCATCGTTTCAAAAGCTTCGAACAGAGGCTTCACTGCAGCACTGCCTAAGTTTACAAATATCCTCCAAAATTTTTATAAATTTTATCAAGTACAGAAAATATTGTCACGTGTATGAGTGACTATAGACGGGGTTTGGTTGGTAAATAGATTTATTGGTCACATACATGCCGTAAAAAAGTAAAAGTAAAGCTATCCCTGTACCAGGTCGTGAAGGCCCATAGGGTTGTGAGATGTTGAGGGTCCCACATTATCTAGACAATCGGCTCAAAGATGGCGGTAAGTTTGTCAGCCTTACGCGCCGGCCGTACTTTACTCCCCATGAAAATTATTTAATTAATTCCTCGTACTCATTTCTGTTAGAGGCTGAGTAAACCCCAGGGCCATAGTGCGGCTGGAAGGATTAGGTCAACTGAAAAAAAATCCAATGACCTCATCGGGACTTGAACATGCGACCTTCCGGCTTGTAGCCTAGGAGTAACTATAAGACTATTGCTGTTCTCGAAACTACAATTCACTTCACACTAAATCTTTTCAGTCTATTTCCACCAGACTTTACTTGGTAACTGCTCCCCACAATCTCAATTCCTCTGTGGCGTCTTCACTAAAAATATCCTGGTAATGAATCTTACCAATGGAGATTCTTCCGTTTCCGTTACCCGCTGGTTAACACTCCACAGATGAGCCCTGAACTCATCTCAACTACCAGTTCAAAGTCAAAGTCACATTGCGACTGACGGTCGGTCAGTCAGTCAGTCAGTCAGTTTTGGTGTCGAGCCCCATCTGGGGTTCATGACCAGATAATTTTTACTGTTTGACAGTTACGGTTTTGCTTTTATGGGGCGTCCTCTCTCACCAGAGGACAGGTTTGTTTTTTGTATATGCTTCTGGTTTTTGCCAGCGCAGTCTTTCTCGGGTCCGAGTCCCTTGGGACTCGTGACAATGTTTGCTGTCACAGACTCGAGACTTCCTATTCGTCGCCTCCTACGACTCGCAGGGCCTAGGTGGAGGTATTCGACCCCGCCTCCACACGGGTCATCTTTCAATTATTGTTAGCTTCTCGTTAAGTAGACTCGGGTCGGACCTTACGGAAAACACGTCCATTGCCCAGTAATGGATATATGCGAACCACATAGAAAAATCACTTCTTCTATTATTGTACTTACAGCGTGTTGCATAGAAACGGAAGTTATCCGATTGTTGCCTGGCTATTCGTTGTCACGAGAATGTATTTACGCAGTCGTTGCATGTCTACATGTCACAATATAATCAACAGTGAATCTATTGGTACTAGCATGCGCATTAGGAAGACAGTGCTCTGTGTATCAAATAACAGTCTTCTTTATACAAAAAAATAAGTTAACCGTGAGATGAAAGCTTTGAAATTACGCCGTTTCGAATTACCATATGAACGAATTTTCAAGAATTTACACGTTATGTGTGCGTAAGTTACATAGTGGGTCACGAACTAGCGAGAAGTATTTTTATCAATGTACTGTGGCATGTAGACCCGTTACCAGGCAACGACCGCAAAATAAGCAGATATACAAGAGCCGTTACTGAGTAACCGCATCCAAAAGAAATA